AGAAAAATTACACAATAAGCACCGAAGTAGGCATGGAAGTTCTCAATTCCATAGTTCAACCCTAGGAGAGTCCATGCATGATGATAGCCTAGCTTTAGGAGATCATTTTCAACAACCTCCTAGAAAAACCCATAGGACCCCCAAAGTTAGGGAACCCAAAGTGGATCTCCCTTATTTCCATGCAAAAGATGATGTAGAGGGGTACCTTGATTGGGAAATGAAGGTTGAACAAATCTTCACTTGCCATCAAGTGAGTGAAGAAAGAAAAGTGTTTCTTGCCACCTTAAGTTTCCAAGGCCACGCCATGTATTGGTGGACATCCCTTGTTAGGGATAGGCGCCTTCATAATGACCCTCCAATTCAATATTGGAATGAGTTAAGAAGTGCATTGAGAAGGAGACACATTCCCTCATATTACACTAGGGAGCTTATGAATAAGCTCCAAAGACTCCATCAAAGAAACATGAGTGTTGAGGAATATAGACAAATGATCGAGTTATACTTGATGAGGGCTGGAATTAGAGAAGAGGAAGACATTACCATTGCTAGGTTTTTAAGTGGTCTTAATTTGGAAATAAGGGATAAAGTTGAGCTTTTACTATACCGAGATATGAATGATTTAGTTCAACTTTGTATCAAGGTTGAACAACAAGTTTTAAGAAAAAATTTCAAAAGCTCCTTTTCATCTTATTCCAAGAAAGACTACAAGAGGGAGGGTAAAAATTTTGAAAAGAAAAATGCTTTTGACTCCTCCAAAAACCTAGACAAAGGAAAGGAAAAAGAAAAAGAAAAAGAAAAGAAATACACCTCACACACTAGCACCAAGTCTAGTGCGATAAAGTGCTTTAAATGTCTTAGGAGAGGCCACATTGCTTCTCAGTGCCCTAACAAAAAGGTTATGATATTGAGGGGCCAAGACATTTATAGTAGCCAAGATGAAGCTACTACTTCTTCATCTTCAAGTGAAGATGAAGAGGAAGCAAGTGAGAAAGAGTCATGTGAGGTCACTTACCCTTACAATGGGGAACTTCTTATGATGAGAAGGGTCCTCAATAACCAACCTAGTGATACACAATCCCAAAGAGAGAACATTTTCCACACAGGGTTTAATATTTCAAATAAATCTTGTTCTCTAATTGTGGATAGTGGATTTTGGTGCAATTGTTGTAGCAATATGATGGTTGAAAAGTTGGGATTAACTACCACACCCCATCCAAAACCTTATCAACTTCATTGGCTCAATGATGATGAGGGCATGGTGGTTAACCAACAAGTGGAATTAGAGTTTTCCATTGGGAACTATCAAGATAAAGTGAAATGTGATGTAGTTCCCATGGAAGCTTGTCATATTTTGTTGGGAAGGCCATGGCAATTTGATAAGCAAACACATCATGATGGCTTTTCTAACAAGATAACTTTCACTCACAAGGGTAGAAAGTTTGTACTTCATCCTCTAACACCTTCCCAAGTAGTAGAGGATCAAGTACAAATGAAGACCAAACGTGATTAAGAAAAAGGAGAGGAAAACAAAAAAAAAGTAAAAAAAAACTCTAAAAATTAAGAACCAAGAGGATTCTAGAGAGACTAGTCTTCCCTCTCTAGAGATAGTTCAAGAAGAGAAATTTGAAACAAAAACTTTGCAAAAAACATCTCTCTTACTTGAACCATCTTCTTATATCCTCATGTGTAAAGGAATACTCACATGCACTGCCACAAAATCTTAGGAACTTTCTCTACCTCTTGAGATTCAAAATCTTTTAATTGAATTTGATGATGTATTTCCTAGTGAAGGCCCTATGGGACTTCCACCTTTTAGGGGAATAGAGCATCAAATAGATTTTGTGCCTGGGGCTAGTCTACCTAATAGACCAGCTTATAGGACAAATCCTCAAGAAACAAAAGAGATAGAGAAACAAGTACAAGATTTGTTGGATAAGGGTTGGATTCAAAAGAGTCTAAGCCCTTGTGCTGTGCCTGTTTTATTGGTGCCAAAAAATCCAACACTAACCTCAAGTGCTCTCTATGCTCCTCTGGGGTCCTTGAATAAATCAAGATATTATCAATGAACACCACAACGAATTTATCCAAGAACGGCCAAAAGATCCTGTTCATGTAATCCATGAACACAGCAGGGGCGTTGGTCACGCCAAATAACATCGCAACATACTCGTAGTGACCATACCTAGTCCTGAAAGCAGTCTTCGGTATGTCACCCTCCTTCGCCCTTATATGGTGATATCCTGACCTTAAGTCAATCTTCGAGAAAACGGATGCTCCCCTCATTTGATCCATCAAGTCATCTATCCGGAGAAGTGAATATTTATTCTTAATGGTCAACTTGCTCCACTGCCAGAAATCAACACACAATCGACTACCTCCAACTTTCATCTTCACCAACAACACGGGAGCACCCCACAGCGATACATTCGGTCACACCAACTGCTTCTCTAACAGGTCCTCCAACTGACCTTTCAGCTCAACCAGCTCAGCAGGAGCCATCCCATAGGGAGCCACCAACACTGGCCCCGCACCTGGAACCAAGTCAATGCTAAACTCCATCTCCCTAACAAGAGGCAATCCAGGCACCTCATCAGGAAACACCTTAGATAAATCTCTCACCACATCAATCTCAACAATGACCCTCTCGGTCTCCACACTCATAGCAGCAAGCAGAAGACAACACTCTGCTCCATCCCTCAATAATGATTCAACTTGACCAGCTGAAATCAATAGCTCCTCCTCCATCTGAGGAAAGATCAACCGCCTATTGACACAATCTTTAAGGATGCAACTGATAGACAACCAATCCATTCCTAAGACTATGTCAATATCCACCCAAGGTAAACAGATCAAGTTCACCTTGTACCCCTCCACCAATGCTCAGCCTCCCCAACTAGCATGTAGACAGCATATGCCAGTCTCCTCTCTTGAGAACATCCCAACACAGTGAAGATCTTCTCCATCTCACAAATCCAGTGGTCAGCTACCTCTGGGTCTGCATCTCCCTTGAACTGAGGAGGACGGCATTTCTAGAACTCAGCTAGATCTCGGCTCTCCTACGACCCCAAGGGCCTTGCTGCACCAGCTGCAGCTCTATCAGCGTCCATCCTAGAAAAATAAGAATTTTGCTACTGCATAGCCATAGCCATCATCTCTATAGCACGGACTATCAGCTCATTGGTTATAGTCATTGTCTACAGAAGTAACAGCATCTTCAGTATACAATAACTAAACCAAACAACCATCAACAACACAGTAATCAACACCACAGCAAAACAACACAGCAATCAGCACGACAAACAACACAACAAGATTACAAGAAGTTAGCACAACACAGAGTTCAACACAACAAAAGCCTAAAGGAACCACCCCCAAAGAGTGCCCACTAGACTCGAACTACTCTGATACCACTAAAGTGTAACGACCCGGCTGGTCACTACACACCACACCGTACACCTGAAACCGGACAGAAAAGAACAAGTGTATACATATAGTGTCTAGAATATACATATATACATGTCCAAGTCTGACTAGATTCAAAATGTACAAAAATACATCTTGCGTGACGACGCATTGTGTGTTTACTATTATTTATCGATGTGTACAGTTGTTATTGTTGAATGATGTGAGATGTGTGTTGTTATATATATATATATATAGATGATGTTGTTAAGCTAATTGATGTTCTGATACCTGTAGCTGTTTACTATTCTTAAATTTATGTATATGTATGTTGTTTCTTTCACTAGGTTACCCTTGTTGTTTCCATGTGGTTTGGACTACGATGATCATATACTATGTAGAAAATTTTTCGTAGATAATTTTTAATTATCTACGGAATATTATCTACGGAAAAAATTTCGTAGATAACATTTAATTTTCTATGGAATATTATCTACGGAATTTTTTCCGTAGATATTTTCCAGTTATCTACGAAAATATCCGTAGATAACTTATCTACGGAAATTTCCGTATGTAAAACATATTTTTATTATCTTTTTACTTTTTTTATTTATTATAAAATAATTAGAATATTTAAATTAACATCATTAAAAAAATACATTATAAAATTTATTCTTTTATAGTTTAATTATTCATTATAATACTTTATAGTTACCGTATTAACCAAAAAATAATTTTTAATTAAAATATATTTTAGATTTTTAGTTAATTCATTATCATCCACTCATTATATTAAAAAGTGATAAAAAAAATAAATAATTTTCAATTATTTTAATAAAATAAAAACTTTAAAATATATATCTAAAATATGTAATAATTTCTTAGATAGAAATATTTAATTAATTAATTTTAATATATAGTATATTTAATATTAAAAAATTTATAAATATTTTAGCTGTAATTTTTATTATCTTTTGATTTAATATTGGATTTGTTTTGATTATGAAAGATATTTACCTAGATTTGAGTTATGATTGTTATAATCTTTTGATTTAATATTGGATTTTATTTATTATAAAACATAATAAATAAAATCTAAAATCTAGAGCAATTTCTTTGATACAAATATGTAATTAATTTTAATATATAATAAATTTAATATCATAATATTTATTATAATTTTAGTTATGATTTGTATAATCTTTTGATTTTGATTATAATATTTTAATATACTTTATTTGAAATATCAATTAATATATTTTATTATATTTTTATTTTAATTTCTTATAAAATAATTAGAATATTTAATTTAGCATTATGAAAAAAATAACCATTATAAGATTTAATTTATTTAATTTTATTATTTATTATAATACTTTTTAATCACTATATTGACTAAAAAATTAATTTTTAAAAAAATATATTTCAAAATTTTAGTTAATTCATAAAAAATATTATTGTAAAAACTAAAATTAAATAAGTTAGTTAAAAAATGACTATAGTTAATAAATTAATGTAGAATTTGTTTAAAAAACTGTTTTCAAAAAAATCTGAAAATAAATAATAAAACACAATTGTTTCCCTCCCGAGCTCGCCCCAATATGAAAAATCTAAAGTCACCACTCTCCCTCCTCCTCCACCTGCTCTCGTATTCTTCTTACATTTGGGTTTTCATCTCACTTCAATCCCACGCTCTTTCTTCGCTTAACTCATCGCTTCTTTTCGCTTTCAGCTGTTGGCCCCCAGGATAGGCTACTTGCCTTTGTTGATTTCGCTTTTGAAGCCTCACTTCAGCACCATGCTTCCCCCTGGAGTTGACACCATTTGGTTTGAATACAAGGGCCTTCCTATTAAGTGGTGCGTCTACAATGCTTTTTTCACTCTCGCATCGCGTTGCACTCACCAATTTGTTCATGATTCGTGCAGGTATATACCCACTGGTGTTCTTTTTGATCTTCTATGCGTGGAGCCCGAGAGGCCGTGGAATTTAACGGTAAAGATTTTTATTTTGTTTTCATCTGCTGCTTATCAAATGAATATAGCTCCATGTGCTATGAGCTATTTTTTGATTTTGGGAGGGGAAGGGGAGTAGGGCTTAAAATTAAATAGTAAGATTGCTTAAAGAAATTAGGAGGGATTTATTACAACGTTTTTATGCTAGCTACAATCAATCTGTATCTTATGATTTGTAGGTACACTTTAGAGGATATCCAAGTAATTTGTTGGTTCCCTGTGAAGGTGAAGACAGCGTGAAGTAATTTGTTGGTTCTCTGTTTTTAAACAAATATTTCTTTGCAATTCAGTGTGAATTCAGCGTGAGTTTACGTGTGTTTCAGTAAATGGAGTCTGTTGTACTTCAATTTGCATACCCTTGCAGGATTAGATTTATATAAGTTCTATTTTTTGGTGGTCAGTTTGTTTTGATATTGTCCTTTGTGTTCTCTAATTTCTGTTCATTTTCCACATTAAGTTGGCATGTCCCTTCCTGAATCCTATATGTCGGTTTTAAAAAAAAAACTGTCAAAACATGAAGGTAGCATATTTCGTGACAATAATTTTGATTTTGTTTGTTAATTTACAGAAATGATTTACTTATGCAATTGAATATAGACAAATGATCGAGTTATACTTGATGAGGGCTGGAATTAGAGAAGAGGAAGACATTACCATTGCTAGGTTTTTAAGTGGTCTTAATTTGGAAATAAGGGATAAAGTTGAGCTTTTACTATACCGAGATATGAATGATTTAGTTCAACTTTGTATCAAGGTTGAACAACAAGTTTTAAGAAAAAATTTCAAAAGCTCCTTTTCATCTTATTCCAAGAAAGACTACAAGAGGGAGGGTAAAAATTTTGAAAAGAAAAATGCTTTTGACTCCTCCAAAAACCTAGACAAAGGAAAGGAAAAAGAAAAAGAAAAAGAAAAGAAATACACCTCACACACTAGCACCAAGTCTAGTGCGATAAAGTGCTTTAAATGTCTTAGGAGAGGCCACATTGCTTCTCAGTGCCCTAACAAAAAGGTTATGATATTGAGGGGCCAAGACATTTATAGTAGCCAAGATGAAGCTACTACTTCTTCATCTTCAAGTGAAGATGAAGAGGAAGCAAGTGAGAAAGAGTCATGTGAGGTCACTTACCCTTACAATGGGGAACTTCTTATGATGAGAAGGGTCCTCAATAACCAACCTAGTGATACACAATCCCAAAGAGAGAACATTTTCCACACAGGGTTTAATATTTCAAATAAATCTTGTTCTCTAATTGTGGATAGTGGATTTTGGTGCAATTGTTGTAGCAATATGATGGTTGAAAAGTTGGGATTAACTACCACACCCCATCCAAAACCTTATCAACTTCATTGGCTCAATGATGATGAGGGCATGGTGGTTAACCAACAAGTGGAATTAGAGTTTTCCATTGGGAACTATCAAGATAAAGTGAAATGTGATGTAGTTCCCATGGAAGCTTGTCATATTTTGTTGGGAAGGCCATGGCAATTTGATAAGCAAACACATCATGATGGCTTTTCTAACAAGATAACTTTCACTCACAAGGGTAGAAAGTTTGTACTTCATCCTCTAACACCTTCCCAAGTAGTAGAGGATCAAGTACAAATGAAGACCAAACGTGATTAAGAAAAAGGAGAGGAAAACAAAAAAAAAGTAAAAAAAAACTCTAAAAATTAAGAACCAAGAGGATTCTAGAGAGACTAGTCTTCCCTCTCTAGAGGAATATAGACAAATGATCGAGTTATACTTGATGAGGGCTGGAATTAGAGAAGAGGAAGACATTACCATTGCTAGGTTTTTAAGTGGTCTTAATTTGGAAATAAGGGATAAAGTTGAGCTTTTACTATACCGAGATATGAATGATTTAGTTCAACTTTGTATCAAGGTTGAACAACAAGTTTTAAGAAAAAATTTCAAAAGCTCCTTTTCATCTTATTCCAAGAAAGACTACAAGAGGGAGGGTAAAAATTTTGAAAAGAAAAATGCTTTTGACTCCTCCAAAAACCTAGACAAAGGAAAGGAAAAAGAAAAAGAAAAAGAAAAGAAATACACCTCACACACTAGCACCAAGTCTAGTGCGATAAAGTGCTTTAAATGTCTTAGGAGAGGCCACATTGCTTCTCAGTGCCCTAACAAAAAGGTTATGATATTGAGGGGCCAAGACATTTATAGTAGCCAAGATGAAGCTACTACTTCTTCATCTTCAAGTGAAGATGAAGAGGAAGCAAGTGAGAAATTTTTAAGTGGTCTTAATTTGGAAATAAGGGATAAAGTTGAGCTTTTACTATACCGAGATATGAATGATTTAGTTCAACTTTGTATCAAGGTTGAACAACAAGTTTTAAGAAAAAATTTCAAAAGCTCCTTTTCATCTTATTCCAAGAAAGACTACAAGAGGGTGAGATGACAGATTTTAACAATGTTCTTGATTTCTATTCGATTAAAATCAATAATAAAATCACTTAAAGTCAAAACAGCAAATAACTTTTTCAACTTTTGACAGTAATTCTGAGGCTGGGAATTGATTATATAGAAAGTGTCTGAATATAGTATTATATAGAATCTAAGTTTTAGAGTTATGAAATGTATGTATGGGACATGTGCAAGTGTAAGCACAACGTACACTGCTATGAGTCTGGAATAATAATTAAATAGTATAAAAGCAATATAAATATTTAAAAGTAGTGATTTAATTGATAATAATAAATGGAGACGTGGGCCGGTTGAAGTTACATCAAGGGAATGCGCCAGCTTTCTTTTTTTCCAATAATTCATTGCAATTTAATGCTTGTTTTTACATTATTATTGTAACTTGGGTATAACACATTCTTGAATCTTCTTTGCAGAACCCGTGACATAAACATAGTAGTTGGCCACGTACATGTTTTGAATAGTAGCAAAAGCATCATACAATATCTAGGAGTCTGATTGATTAATAACTTCTCAAAGACCCTCGTCAGGTATTTAATTGTTTACTATTGCAAATATTTTATTAATTTTTTACTATCTAGCTGACGATGAATAATTCTATTTAGATGTGATCATGTGAATCTTTCAACTAAGATCTAACAAGTAATTATCTTATAATTAATAGCATGTTTAGATATTACTATATTTATCATATTTAACTTATTTTGATTATATCATTAGTGATGTGAAATTTATAATATGCACCTTTTATTCTAAGTATTGAGTATCTCAAATATAAAATTACTTTTCAATGCAAAAATACTTTTCTCTTTTTGGACCACTAGGATGCCATTTTACCAATCTCAAATTTGCTTGTTCATGTCAGATTTGTGAATGTTCACCGCTGTTTGCTCGACTAGAAGTGCTTAACATAAATCTGTGGAAGCTAATTTCAAATATGTGTATATTAATAATGAAGTACTGTACGGAATTACTGTGGTAGCCTAGTTTTCATAATTCCAACAATAGTATAATATAAAATATGAAATAATAGTATAATATAAAACATTAAGATAGCGTTGGCCAATTGCATGGGCACATGGTTCTGAATGACTTTAAACTGGTTAAAAACCAGTTTACCCCAACAGATTTGAATATAGCGTTGGTATGCAAAGGGCATATGAAAATATATTTAAATTTTATTAATATATAGAAGATGAATTCCATTCCAACACCTTTGTCTTTCCATGTTCTAATATATTTATGTTATAAATATACAGAACATGAATTCTATCCCAGCAAGTCGTCAATGGATGTATGATAGAATGTATATGGGGAGAAGAGGTTTAAAGGAATCTTTTGTACACGGGGTTGAAGAGTTTATAAGAATAGCTTGTCAACAACAAAGCTATATTAATGAAGGGAAACTTAGATGTCCATGTGCTAAATGTCAGTCCACAAAGATTGATGGTGTTCATACAGTGAAGGTTCACCTTTTCAAGTATGGGTTCATGCCGAACTACTACATTTGGACTGATCATGGTGAAGAGATGGAAAATGTTGACAATAATCTCATAGGTGCTTCAAGTATTGGTATAAATGCGACCGAAAGTGAAACCTCTAACTCAATGCATGATATGATGTGTGATGCTCTTAGGCAACATGGGGCATTTGACATACTAGAAAATAATAACGTGGAAGAGCCTCCGAATGAAGAAGCACAAAGATTTTACAATCTTTTATCTGAGGCAAATTGTCCATTGTATGAGGGATCATCAGAGTCTAAGTTATCAATGTGTGTAAGACTTTTAGCATGCAAGTCTAATTGGAATGTTCCCGATGAATGCGTCGATTTTATAACAAAAATGTTGTTGGATGTGACTCCTGTGAATAGATGTTTGCCCAAAAATTACTATGACGCTAAAAGATTAGTGTCAAAATTGGGACTGAGTGCTAGAAGGATAGATTGTTGCGTACAAGGCTGCATGTTGTTTTATGACAATGATTATGGGAAAAATGATGGTGCATTATTGCAGTGCAAGTTTTGTCATATGCCAAGATATCGTGATCGCAACACTGGATCAAGCACAAAAAAACTAGTTCCAGTGAAGACGATGTTTTATTTGCCAATAATTCCAAGGTTACAACGACTGTTTGCATCAATGCAAACAGCTGGGCATATGTGTTGGCATTATCAAAATAGAAGTACCTCTGGTGTTTTACGTCATCCCTCAGATGGTGAAGCCTGGAAGCACTTTGATCGAGTGTATCCAGATTTTGCAGCCGATCCTCGCAATGTACGACTTGGTTTATGCTCAGATGGGTTTAATCCATACATTCAATCAACAACTCCACCTTATTCTTGTTGGCCGGTAATTGTAACCCCATACAATCTTCCCCCTGAAATGTGCATGACAAAACCATTTATGTTTTTAACTTTTCTTATACCTGGTCCACGGAATCCGAAGGCAGCTATTGATGTGTATCTACAACCATTGATTGACGATCTTAAAAAGTTGTGGATTGGTGTCCAAACCTATGACATTTCAAAGAAGCAAAATTTTATGATGAGGGCAACATTAATGTGGACTATTATTGACTTCCCTGCATATGGCATGTTGTCTGGTTGGGGAACTCGGAGAGGAAAACAAAAAAAAAGTAAAAAAAAACTCTAAAAATTAAGAACCAAGAGGATTCTAGAGAGACTAGTCTTCCCTCTCTAGAGATAGTTCAAGAAGAGAAATTTGAAACAAAAACTTTGCAAAAAACATCTCTCTTACTTGAACCATCTTCTTATATCCTCATGTGTAAAGGAATACTCACATGCACTGCCACAAAATCTTAGGAACTTTCTCTACCTCTTGAGATTCAAAATCTTTTAATTGAATTTGATGATGTATTTCCTAGTGAAGGCCCTATGGGACTTCCACCTTTTAGGGGAATAGAGCATCAAATAGATTTTGTGCCTGGAGCTAGTCTACCTAATAGACCAGCTTATAGGACAAATCCTCAAGAAACAAAAGAGATAGAGAAACATGACTCCTCCAAAAACCTAGACAAAGGAAAGGAAAAAGAAAAAGAAAAAGAAAAGAAATACACCTCACACACTAGCACCAAGTCTAGTGCGATAAAGTGCTTTAAATGTCTTAGGAGAGGCCACATTGCTTCTCAGTG